ACAGACAGGTGATGAGTTTCGAGGCTACTCAAAGAAACTCAGAAGTGAAGAAGATGGGCAGAGGAATCGACACCTTACCTGTGAGAAAGCAGGAAAAAGTAAAGGTGGTAGGGAGGCTCTAAGCTTCCAGGTTCCACATGATCATATATTTCTTTCACGACTTGAATGAGAAAAAGAAAGAGAAAGAAAAACAGAAACAGTAAAAGAATTTACCTGGACAGACAGGTGATGAGTTTCAAGGCTACTCAAAGAAACTCAGAAGTGAAGAAGATGGGCGGAGGAATTGACGCCTTACCTGCAAGAAAGCAGGAAAAAGTAAAGGTGGTAGGGAGGCCTATACAAGAGGGTGAGTACCTTTCCAGGTGTAAAAGAAAAGGAAAACTAGCGTGAGGATAACTAAAAGGACTCACTCTAAGCTTCCAGGTTCCACACAATGAGGGGGGAACCAGAAGCTTGAGAGGTACTGAGTATATAAGAAAAAGATTTGACACGCACAAAAATGACCCTGAAGCAAGGGGGAACACAACTAGCCCAATTGGGAAATGGCCACAGAGAAATTGGATAAGAAGAAAAACACACCTAGCTACTCATGACCAAAAAAGGAAAATTTGACACACTGACTCCACCATCCTTATACCCAAAAGAGAATGAACCAAAACACTTCACTCAACTTCCCTACCATTTCTACAGTTGGCTGATTGAGCTCGTGATGTACTTGAATTTGAGTCAGTAATATCATAACACTTTCACCATTGATAGTGAGCTTGAGCCATTGTGAATGGTATTCTTGGAGGTTGTCAATAATTGCTGATGAGCATTCAAATGTTGGTTGTTCTTGTTTGAGTGTGTGGCTCATTGACTCAACACAAGTGATTTTGTCAGCCTAAGTCTCTAGGCACACAAGAGTTGGATGGAAAGATATTTGAATGATGAATTACAAGCTGTATATCTAAAGCTTGATATTTAATTTAAGGGAAGGTTTATTTTTCAGTTCCTTGTAAACCAAAAAGATGTAAATAATATAGTTGTTTTCTATATTAGTATAGGGTGCAGAATGGCTACTGCTGCCTGAACACTTATTTAAAGTCAGTACTTAAGATAGTCTTCTGAAAGGAATACAGCTCAAGTAAACAGGCTTCCAGGCAACAATTCAGTGCTAGCTTGATAAGGCAAGATTACCAAAAAGCAGAAATGAGCAACAAATGAATAACAAGTTTCTCGAAGGAACCAAGTTGTAAGATAAAAAGAATCTGTTGAGTTATAACAAGATTTTTAATAGTAAAACGTGGAATTTCTAAAAGAAACAAGAAAAGGAGTTTGAAGTTTTGTCAGCCCTGAGTACATATACATGTACCCAAAACTAACTTGCAATAAAGAATTATCATATACAAACCTAATTACATATACATACGGCCAATAGACAGTATGTAACATGTAATAAAACATATAAAAATATTAATTACATATACATCTACACTTAAAACCACATGTAGTATGTTATAAAACATCGTCAACACCTCATAACTCAGTGTCAAGAGTCAAAATGCTTTGGTTTCAAATGCTTATACTACATAATATACTTAGTGTGTATATGTAATTAAGCATAATTAATAATGATCATAACAATCATTAACAACAAACCCTAAACCAATGTTGTGATACAAACAAATACCACTACAGTTAGGTTTAGAGAGGAGAGTATATAATCCCCTCCTCTCCCAGCATTCAAGAAAATCCCCCAAGCAATTTATTACACACATCTTTTAAAGAACCCTTTAAAGTTCAATTGAAGTACATAATCAAAAGTCTTATAATAATAAGACTAGTGATTCACTTCATATCTTTAAAGCAGCTTCCTGACTAAAAGATAAAGTAATCTCTTTCTTCCCCTTTCTGGATCCTCTACTTTCCCTAAGTAGAACATTTCTAGGTTAGTGACCTTCCAATTAACTTCAAGGTTAGTTACCTCTTGAACAACTACAGGTTAGTGACCTATATCAACTCACAGGTTGGTGTACCTTCTGAACAACCATAGGTTAGTGACCTATATCAACTCTCAGGTTGGTGTACCTTCTGAATAACCATAAGTTGGTGACTTTGTAACAACCAGACTAGTGACCTTCACCTCACTCTTTAATCTGTTACTTTAAAGATTAAAGGAGGGCCTTGGATCCAGCCTTCGTACTTTATAATAATTATTAATTATAAATCAAACCTCCTTTCAAGGAGGCATCTAACTGTAGTCTGTCTGGACTTATCCAAACAGACTATCAGTCTCTTTTACTTTCTTTCTTTTCTTTATTTCATTTTGTAAATACTACACATTTGAAATAAAGAATCAAATTCCATTACTACACTACCCATTTTCCAACTTTAGTGAGCATAGAGCACTCTCAAAGAGTACCCAACCCTCACAAGTCTGGTGAAGATAGAAGATAACGGGAATTCAATTGATTATAGGATGAATAATCTTCTTTCTAGCTTGGTAGCCTCTGATTTACAAGGAGTAACTTTTCTCTTGGCTTTACCAACCATTAGAATATGAGATGGGTCAATTCAAACCCTGACTGGTTTGCTAACTTCTCTCTGCCTTGCTAGTTACATAGTTTTGGCCTATTCCGGGTCTTGTTTGATCCCTTTGACCGGGCAGGGATAAAACAGAACCCTTTGAATTGATTGTTATTCTAATAAGTTAAATGAAATCTTCTAGATTTCTTCATCAATTTATTTATTAGAATTTGTCTCTTCTTTCAATAAAGAATAACACTGTAAAAATTTGCACTGTTGAAACTTGAGTGTAGAGGTGTAATTTTTAATTCATTTTTATTTTATTGTGTAAGTACTTTCTGTCAATGTGCTAGAGGTACCAAGTGTTGTTTGTGCCAGATCAATGTCAATCAACACATTCATTGATTGACGAGTTATATAAAGCAAAGTTCTTGTCTTTGTCTTTGTTTTTGTGATCCAAAATTCTGGTTTTTGAGAGTCTTCAGAAGGCTCATAAGATTTGATATCAGGTGAAGGGGTAGGAGAGGGGTCTGGAACTGGTTTTTGATATCCCAGTCCTCCATTGACAACTTCGACTTACCAAGTGCCTTTTTACAATTCTTCTTCTTTTGTCTCTTAGTCTCTTTTGGTATTTTGTGTGGTGCAAGCTTATTTGAGTTGATTTGAAGCCAAGGCTGTTAATAGCCTTTGAGGATACAATCATCCTTGCTTTTTCTTTTGCTAAGAGGTGATTGGTACAAGAAAGGATGGGTAAAAACAGGGAATGATGTGTTGTTCACAAGTGACTTATTCATCTGAGGAATATGTGATGTTAGATTGTGGATATACTGATATTTACAAGGGATCCACATCATGATCTTTGGTTTGATAATCTGGATCAATAGACATGCAATAGAGCTTGGATGGTTGGAGGACAACTGATTGAGGAGGCTGGGGGTTTGTAAATCCTTGGCATCAGAATTGCAGTCTGATGAAATTGTGATCACAGGATGATATGGTGTGATAATCCACAAATTGGCACCATGTGGGTTTGGAATAACTTTGTCCAGGATTAGCTGGAACTTTGAGCTTACTACAGCAGTTGATTCATCTTCTGATTTGGAATTTGACAAAGCATCTTCTGAAAATTTGGGCTTGTTGAAGTTCTTCCATTGCTTTTTTTGAGCTCTGCATGCTTTTGCTTGCCTGTGCCATGGTGTTGATGAGGGTCTATAACTGAATTGAGCTACATATGATTGACTTGGAAGTGGTGATATGGTGAGTTTTTCCCTTATAGAATGGGTTGAATGTGGCAATAAAATGGGAAACATAAAACAGACCTCTGCCAAAGAAACCACTGTTGGTATTACTGGAGCCTCCACATTTGGGTCTTGGGGCCAGGGTATGGTTGAGATGAGTGGATCAACTGTAGATCTGACTGTCCTACAGCACTTGCTTCATTACATTGTACACGCCGGGCAAATTGAGGTCATGGAGTGAATACAGGTTGCGCAGTCATGTTGAAAACAGAAAATATTTTTGCACCCTGAGTCATGTCACAGCTGCATGACAAGTCTTCATGTATTGCACCCCCACCAGTCATGCAAGTGACATGGGTATCTGGCCCACAATAATGGGCCAATACAGACCTCATGAGAGGCTTATAGCTATGTGACATATACATCTCAGTACATACTCAAATACATGTGATTGGTATGATTGATACAGAGTGTGTACAGGATAATGAGTCCTGCATGCGTGACAGGGCCCCCAGGTCCTGGCATGCATTCAGGACTGTGCAACCTGTATGCACTGCATGACCTGAATTTGCCCGGCGTGGTAGTTTTGAAAGGGTCTTGTCCTGTTACCAGTAGCAACAGTGATTTGTAGGTTTAAGAGCACCCACTATGGTTGCGTTAACTCGGTGATTTAGCGTTACCCTAACGCTAAAATACCAACAGGTCCACTATGGACCTGTTTTAGACCTGCGGTCCGTACGGCTGCGTCAAGTCTTGCACTTCGTGTGCTCAGATTTACGCAAGCCTACGACTTGATTTATCGTAGGAACTAGGGAAAGCAGACGATAAATCATCCCATAGTGGATTTCACGCGGTTACCAACTTTGGTAAAACACGCATGATCAAACTTCGCGCTCAGGAACGCAAACTTTACGATAAAACACTCCCACCATAGTGGGTGCTCTAAAAGCCTCCTTGATCAAGGCTCAGGGCATCTTGCACAACAATTGAAAGGCCTCAATGACTGTCACTTTACCCGGGCAGTCAACAATTTGTGCGAAAAAATTACTCGGGCTCCCGCCGATATAGATGTCTGATGAGCGGAAGGCCACCACCGCTACCAGTTATGTCCTGGAGTATGCGTATAAAACTACGGGCCACTAGATACAGTCCTGACGGTCATGAATAACATTTACACACTCACAATACATGTAGTTGTAGCAACTCATTCTAGAAGAACAAACTGCAAAGGATACTCAACGTTTTTCCTACTTCTCATTCTCCAAATATCAATTCAACTTCATCTACCGCTGGTCCACCGTGATGCACTGGGCTCAGTGGCGACTGTGGCCCAAAATGTGGCGAACAATGTGGCGAGCGTGTGGTCGCTGATCCACTCACGCCGCCAGGAGATGTGATGAGGTTTGTATCGCGCGAGCCGGTATTTGACATACCAAACTCGCTATCAATATCATCTGTTTGGTCCTCCTCCTCTTCTCGTCCGTCCAAAACCACGGGTCGTAAAGCTGGGCTTTTTTGTTCGCTGCTCTTTCGTCGGCGTGGAAGCTGTGAAGGGGATCCTTGCTGGTTCAATTGTTCTGATGTCTTCCTTTCTTCTTCCAAGGCCGTGATAGTCTCAGGTGAAAGATGTTCCCATTCAGCTCGTCGACTGTAATGGTCTCCATCTTTGAACTCATCTAGTGACGTCATGTCCGATGTGTCCGCGTTCCCTCCATCCGCGCCAAATTCTCCCCCGAGGTACCCAATCGAGGCAATGCTCTCTGTGTCCGAGATATCCTCAAAATCACCAAGCAGTTCACCAAGTCGATTCCAAGCTGACGTTGTAGCATCATCGTTCCGTTCCAGTAGGCCATGACTGTTCACCGAATAGTGTGGATAGAAAAGACTTTCGACTTCATAATCCTCGAGAAATCCATCGATAGTGGATGTGGGGTCTAACATTCGTGAGTTATCATAAAATGACCGCACAGGAGGAAATGCGTCTGTATCGTTAGCGTTTTGCAGGGCAACCGACTGGATAAGGCCAGTTGCCCCTTGGCGATCGGCTGGGTTCCAAGCGGCGTTGAGTTGGTTTGGAGCACCATCTGTTGCCATGACAGATGGCCGACGGTACAGGTGAGGTGCAAAAGCACCGTAATGTTTACAATTGTAAAAGCTGACAAGCGATCGCAAAGCTTGTTCCTGAGGCTGAAGTTACGGAAGACGAAGTCAAGAAGGCTGCAGATGGCGTGAAAAGACGTTAAGAAGGCTAACGAATGAATCTTCCACATCGCCATCCAAGTCAACTCCCAGAAGCCATTCGTCTCGTAAATCCGCGCGGCAGTTGAGATATATAGCAGTGATGACCTTCATATTGGCTTGACGAGTCAAAAAAGAACTCGACGTCAATTTGGAATTAGGAATATGCGCTGGACACAAATTAGCCTGCCTTGTCTCCATTTCCGCCCACAATACGGTATTTGGCTCTTGATAACCTTGAGAACATAGAGTTGTAAGGTAGGCTGATTTGCGCGAAGTATCCTCTTTAAGATGGCCTGTGGTGGTCAATGCAGGTATGATTGAGCTCAATAAAAGAGAATCCGAGGCATGTGATGAACAGAAACTGCTATAATGGACTACCTACCGAGCTTTTGTACTGGACTAAAAGCAGTATGCGATGTATCCTGCCCTTGGTCAGTTTTTGTAGAATGTGAACAAAGTTGATTGCAGCAAAGAAATTCCTCCAAGAATAATCTGTGATCAGTTCTACTTCCTCGTCACCCGCCCGGGTAGTTTTAGTGATGATCGGAGATATATTTTGCTGCATAGGTTCTTCGTCAGGGTGTGTTTGAGCGGAAGATCGCGATCCATGTAAAGCACAATATCGGAAGAAGCTGATCCAATGGAAGATATTGCGTAAATGTCTTTGTTAAATTCGACAAGTTCTCAAGGATTGGATGATGCTTAAGTCACGCACTTGTAATCCTCGCATTCGTTTTTTGTCTTGACTTGGGTGGCGACCTCTTGAAGACCAAACATCTTCAGGATTAGCAACAAGCAATTAGAATCAACCAACAGTTGAGCCAAGTAATGGAACTTCATAACATCTAAGATACGTCTCCAGTCAGACCCAAAGACAGTACTCTTCTCGCATCATAGGATGACTCACGTGATGTCTTGAACCACTTGAGGCTCAGGATCAAGATCGCAGACACGGCTTTGGATGTGATCTCCCGGTGTCGCAGGATGTCAATGTCCTCAATAGTTGGTGATGGCTTGGCTGCTCGGAAAATGCAGCATCAAATACGTCAAGGATTAACACTAATCATGACCGATCTTAGCAACGAGTCACTGACGTTGCTCCGCATCGTGAGAGTTGTTAGGATTGGTATTGGCAGTTACTGTAGCGAGTAGTAACTTGAGTAATACGATGACCGCACTTTGCATCTGAGGTAAAATACTTCGCTAGATTGGGGCCAAACAATTTCAGTCGCACTGGAGAGCTTACAAAAAAATGCTACGGACATAAATCAGTTCTACTCTTTGTAAACGCTGGGTGTCCATGGCATCCTGTTTCAACTTTTTGGACGTCGAGTTATCCTGCAAGCGCTCCGCTGTCGCAACATCACATCGAATCTTGGCCTCAAGATCAATCAACATCTGCAACGAATCAGGGATCAAGGACTCATTTGCAACATGATTGTCACTAGCTGGTGTGGGTTCTAGCGATAGGGTTGAAAGTCGGTTTGTTACACCCTGCAGCGAGTCCCGTTCTCTGTATTTCTGTGACTTGGCTTCTGCAGCCGCTTCGACTCTAGCTAAACCAGACTCGTCGGCCATAAACTCTTCCCGAACCTTCCAGGTTTGCCAGAGTTCCGTACTAATTCTCAAATGACTACGGTAGAGCTCGCCTGCTTCGTCGATACTTCTTGGTACGAGAGACGGAAGGCCAGCACTGGTCAGCTTGGCGTTGGCAGGGGAGAAGGGAAGTACAAATGGTCGTGTTTGATCTGTTTGAAATTGCTGTTTCTTGGGCTTCTGTTGTGGGGACGGAGGAGGCGATGGAGCTGGTGTACCGGGCTGGAGGTTGTGGTTGCCTTGCATTTTGGTGTGTGCCGATGGATCATGCGGAATAGAAGGATTGCCAGGGTGATACATGGCACTGGGTCTGATCGGGGTAGGGGCAGCAGCGGCAGCGATACGGGCAAGATAGACCTCGGAAACGTCTGAGGAGACATAGGTTGGATATTTGGCAAGAATCTCCTTCCGAAAAGTGTGAAAATCAATAGGTGAAACTTTGAAGGAACTAGCAGGTGTCGAACCATCAGGCGGGAGGCTTTCTATAGTTCTGACCATATGTTTGACCCGATCAACATCGCGCATACCACCAAGCGTGGCAAGCATGCTCTTCCACAAGAGGAGCAATAACTGCGAAACTTTTCAAACGTCATTTGGGAAGACAAACGCAATTTGTGACTTCGAAATCATGAGTGTTGATTCACTCACTTTCTTAACAGGGTAGCCTTTCGCATTTTTTTCACGCAAGCCTGCCACCAATCCAAACATGTAGATTGGTAATGGTGGATCCAGCCCCACTGGAGAAGACAAAAAGAAAGCGTTGAGTGACAAGCTGTCATCGTAATATCCTTATTGAGGTCAAATATCTCTCACTCAATTCCTCCCCCCAAGCATCGTCCCCTCTAAACACTTCGACCATGAAATAAAGAACTGCTAAATGAATTGCGAGTTCACCGTTGATCTCTTCAAGAAAAGCTTGCCGGTCATGAGGATGCAGACATGGTCCTGAACCCGAAGCAGGGGCAGTTGATTCAGGAGCTTCAGGCAGGCTGCTAATCCAGTCATGTCGACCGCCAACTCCTTTCAGAGCAGCAAACACAGCTTCCAAGGCACCGGCTTCTCGTAGGACGCGTACGTTGTGCATGATAAGATGGACGTGGTGGTTTTTGGACGTAGATTGTGAAAAAGTGCCTTGAGCAATGTAAAGTATTCTACGAGCAGAGTCAAATCTAATTTCTGGATCTTTGTCTTCCAATCGATCAAGCAAATGAATGATATAGCTCTTCTGCAACTTAGGTTCAGCTTCCGTCCACGGTGGGGCCGTCTGGGTCTTCTCCTTCGCCCATTGAGACCAGCTTTTGGTGGATCCAGGTTTGTGGTTTGGAGGATTGCAGGTTGGAGAAGAGGTGCCGTCGCAGTCATCGCCCCACATTTCTTGACCTTCCAAGACACCCGGGACTTCAACATAAGAATAGAACTCATCGAGCTCATTGATGAAAGTATCAGAGTCTACGCCAGGACTCTCTGATAGGTTTGTGGGTGGAGCAATATGAGGCGGGTACGGATGGAGGGACGGAAAATCATATACAGATTGCTGGTGAAAAACAAAAGGGTCAATGTGCTGCGTAGGAAAAAACTCAGCTCGTCAATACTATCACTCACGCGCTCACGGTTGACGCCTTTGACCATTTGCTTCAATTGACCAAGCGTGATACTATCATTCGCAGCAGGTGACATAGGCTCCGATTGAGGTACCGTTCCAGTTCCACCAGCGACACCACTCGTAGAATTTTGCCCACCGGTTGTCCCAAGAGTAATCTGACGGCCTTGAGGGCCACCACCGCCGCTGACAGTAGTTTGACCAGGCCCTCCATGCCAAGGTTTTGGTGGGATATGAGAAGATTGAGAGCTAGCTGATGAAGAGCGACGTTTCAATAAGATCGGGTTGATATACGGTTGAGAAGTACCCAACAGCGGAGGTGCTGAAAGGGGTGTAAGGGAGCCAGGACTCGGAGAATATGGTGAAGCTGGGGAAGATGATTGATGATCGAGAGTGGTATCAAGTCTGAGAGTATCACTCGAACGAGATAGATTGAAAGAAGGAAGTGTGGAATCTTGATTGTCTTCGGATATCATATTGCTTTGATAGATTGATATCGGTGGTTGATTTCTTTTCTTTCTCTTGTTTCCTTCTTTTGTTGATAATGAAGAATGATGCATGAAGGTGGATAACGAATGTCGTCAAGTCCATCAGTCTCGACACTGGGGGGAGGACCGAGTCACTCGGGTCTACGGGAGCACGGGGGGACTTTGACCGCCTGGCGCCGGTGCACCCTGACCGCCCTCGGACTGTCCTTCCCTCCGCAAGGGAGGGCTGTCACTAGCTGGTCAGACTTGTGACGGCTTGAAGGGGACCGAAAGGCGACTTTGAGCTGACCTGAGGGCAAAATTTCAGTGGTCCCTATGCACCTAGAAAGGGAAAGGAGCTATCTAAACTCATGACGCAAACATACTTTTTATCAAAGAACACTGAGATCATCATCACCAACCCACTAAAACAACCACCGAAATGCCGTCAAAACGCCCACAGGGCATTGACGAAGACAACCCGGCCCCTCCCACAAAAAACCCCAAGCCAAACCAGACTCCGATAGACCCAAACGAGATGGAAGATGTAATTACTTCACTGGCCACAAATACCTCATCCTCGAACGACACCCTCCTTCGCACGGTTATACAAATGCTTTCAATGTTTATGGAAACGATCAAGAAACTAAACGAAAAAATCGATCGACTTGAAGCGGAAAGAAACAACGAAATTCAAACAGCATCGAAATCGCACGGCCAAAATCAAAAAACCACGGAACCACAGTCACGCCACGATAACCAGCCTCCGCAAGCCAGACCTCACGTATGGACAAACCCCTACCCAAAAAAGACCCCGACCACCCAAGCGCCGAAACTACCTCCCAAGAATGCAGAGATAAACCAATTTAAGGCGGCCTCTCTTATCATGCACAAAACCCAAGGCACGGAACCATTTAAAGGTATGACGAGACTTGAAATAGTCCAAAAAATCAACGCAGCCCTAGAATCGATAGATGCAACAGTCAACGGAACACCAGTCAGAATCAAAGGCGCCAAACTCTTACCCTCAGGCGACATCCTCATGGACATGGACAACCGAATGATAAAAACGTGGCTCCTAGAAAACAAACATAAATGGACCAAGCTAGCTCACAACGAATTTGAAACTTCACAAACCCGCTATCCAATCTTGTTCAACTACGTATCAGCAGAATTTAAGGTAGAAGACCCAAGCTTCATCACCAAGATAAGCGAACAAAACGACATCCCAAAATCGGCAATTCACTCAGCAAGATGGATCAAAAACCCGATTGACACAAAGAAAACCCAAGGAACAATTGTGATCAACTTATTAGACAAAGAGCTGGCTCAGAAAATCGAAAAAGGTGGCCTGTATATTGATTGTCATAGAATCAAGAGTAAGACTTATGTCCAAGGACCAGTAATGTGTTTCAACTGCCTTGACTTATACCATGTACACTCCTCATGCAAATCCACCGCTCACTGTGTTAAATGTGGTGATTCTCACAACTCGAAAGATTGTGCAAATAACGATGTCCCACAAAACTGTGCCCGTTGCGTTAATTTTGACGCTCAAAGATCTAACCAAAACATTGACAGATTCCTCCCAAAATATGCCCACTCCCCCAAAAGCCTCAATTGCCCACTCCGTAAGACTCAATTTCAGATTGTAACCCAAACTAACAATGAAGATGAGTTATAATACACCTCAAACAACCCACAACATTCCACCAAATCAACCACCAAACGAATTCGACAACTCTTCTGAAACAAACACCGACGACACTCAGCCTAATTTAGACGAACTCTCAATCCTACATTTTAACTGCCACAAATCCCAAGAAATCACACACGAAGCCCTCACCCAGACACAACACTCGATCCTCTCACTACAAGAACCGTGGTTCAATACCCTAAACTGCTCTTTCCCGAATCACGAAGTGTGGCATCGCATAACAGCCTACGACTACAACCCGAGCTCGTGGGAAGATCGCCCAAGAGTATGCATCTACGTATCCAAACGTATAGCCACCTCCCAAATCTCAGTGCTCCCCAGCGGCACGGACATTATCCTAAGTATTGAACTCAAAGACCTAGTAACCAACCAAACTAAAATACGAGTCATATCATGGTACAACCCACCAGGATCACTCCGCGGTATGATCATGCTCGAAAAATGGATCCGAAAACACCACAACAGACAAACACCAACACTCATTACCACGGACTCCAACCTACACCATCGCCTCTGGAACCCCCCAAATTACCAAAAAACCGACGCTCTAGCCAGTAAACTCCTGAAACTGTGTGGTGAGATGGGATTCAGCCTCAGCTCCCCGAAAGGCATTCCCACCCGTTTCTCGACAGGAACCAAACCTACAGTGATTGACCTTGTCTGGTCTAGCTGGAACCTGAAGGGTAAAATCAAGAAATGCCAAGTGCTGGAGAATGGTCTATGCTCGGATCACCTACCAGTAGCTACCACTCTTGATTTATCACTTACCCCTCCAAAGTCATCCCACATCTCCTTGAACATAGCTGACTTAGACCTTTCCAAATTCCATGATCGAATAACTGAACAGATGCAGAAACTCCCACCGGATTATGTGTCCGAAAACAATATTGATATAGGCATCACAACACTAACAGATATCATCACTAGCGCAGCCAAAGCACAAGGTAAAAAAGTGAAAACAGAACCGAAAAGACACAAAATCTGGTGGGATGCCAAATCGCTTAAACCGATCCTCCAAGCAAGAAACAGAGCTCGAAGATGGATGTTACTATCAAACTCACCAGAGGCTCACAAATGCTTCTCGGAATGGCAAAGCTACTTCAAGCAGAAAGTACTAGCGGCAAAGGCCACTCACTGGAAGAAATTCCTAGCCTCCAGCTCAGGCAACACAACCTTCGAAGCTTTCAATTACACAAAACCGTCAGCCTCCAGTGAAGTAGCCCCTCTCCTGAACCCAGACGGTACAATAGCAACGGAAAAACATCAACAAGCTAGACTACTCTTTGAAGGCACGTCGATAGCCCACATCGATGCAGATCTCACAGACATCCCTCAAGACCAGGAAAACCTGATCCAACAGACCCGATACCACCATCCAACCCTACAGACACGCGAACTCAAACAAATTGTTGAGAACTTACCCGGTAAAAAAGCAAAAGGTGAAGACAATATGTCTAACAAATTACTCAAAGCAGCACTCCCAGTCATCGAAAACAAAACATGTAGACTCTTCAACGCATGTTTTAGACTAGGATACTTCCCGAAAAACTGGAGAACAGCGGTCACGATTATCATCCGCAAAGCCAACAAAGATAACTACTCCAGCCCAAATTCATACCGACCAATAGCACTACTGAGTTGCTTAGGCAAAATACTAGAAAAACTTATCACAAGTAGGATCACGTTCTGGGCAGAGAATTATAACATTATATCGCCATGTCATATGGGAGGTCGCAAACATCACAGCACCGATGATGCACTCGCCATCCTAATATCCTGGATTAAAGATAAATGGAGAAAGAAGAAAGTTGTCACTGCTCTCTTCCTCGATGTTAAATCGGCGTATCCTTCAGTTCACCGAGAACGTCTATGGCACATCCTAAGAACAAAAAATTGCCCGCCCTATTTAGTAAGGTTAATCCAAGGCTTCCTATCGGAACGTTCGACAAACCTGCAACTTCAAGACTTCATATCGGAGAAATTCAACGTTGAAAACGGACTACCCCAAGGTTCCCCCCTTTCAGTCATCTTATACATAATCTACAACTCCGAGATCCTAGGACCAAAAGCCCCATCATTGACCGATAACAATATATCATTAGGATTCATAGATGATATTGTTCACGTAGTGGCATCTAACTCAATGGAAGAAAACGTAACAGCTCTCAAAATTCAAGCCGATAAATCACTCAGATGGGCAAGTCGTCATGGAGCAATATTCGATAAGAAGAAAGCGCAACTGCTTCACCTATCCAACAAAAGACAAACACCGAACCCAAACTTCCTATTCGGCGACATCGTACTAGAACCGAAAAAAGAAGTTAAATGGCTTGGATTATGGCTAGACCCCAAGCTTACATTCAACAGTCATTTACAACACTTAAAGAAAACAGGTGAACTTACGCTCCATCAACTGAGAAGACTGAACAAGTGCTACTCAGGACTTTCCACAATTGAAATCAAGAAACTTATCAAAGCAGTGCTTATACCAAGAATCCTCTATGGTAGTATCGCCTGGCTGACGATTAAGACTGAAAATAAAGCTAACAAGATCCTACAAACAATCCAAAACAAAGCTAATCAGATAGCGTTAGGAGCCTTCAGAGGAACATCGAACAAGATGATGAACCATGACATGTATATGACCCCGTTTATATGGACGGCAGCTCATAGACACCATCAATTCATACTGAAAAGACTCTCAGCCCAAGATTCTCACCCCACTCAGAAATTCATACTAACAGAACTATCCTCTTCCCATAAAGTACACCCAGGACCAATCCAGAGCATGATAGGCCTTCAAAAACTTAGACCGCTCACAAAGGAGAAAATCGAAACGATTTTCCCACACCCTATTGCCCCGTGGGCCAAAGGTTTTGGAGAAACGGTAAACCTAGATAAAACCAAAGAAGAAGTACTGACCTTATTACCGAAACAGCTCAAAAAAGAAGAGGAACAAAACTCAGTGATAATATTCACGGATGGCTCGGTAAAACAAGAAGGGGGTGGTGCTGCTGCTGTGACAAAGACAATCAGCAACGCACAAGCAGTCACCTTTCAAGAAAATTTCTCAAACCATGAAATGGAATTGTTAGGTATTCTAATCGCCACCGAACTTGCTAATGATATTTTTCGTAGTCAACGACCACAACCGGAGAACCTGGCCATCTTCAGCAACAATCAAGGGGCAATCAGGCTTGCTCAAGATATCCCAAGAGCATCTTCCGGACAACATATCATAGTTAAAATAAGATCACAACTGCTGAAACTACCGGAGAAAACTAAGATCCGA